AAATGTTAAAGACAAAAAATCAGCTTGGAATTTATATATGATTTTTATTTTATTAATATAAAATTCTGAACCAGGTTATGGTTCTCTATTCAGTCTCCGAGAAATATTTAATATTTTTGAGGTTATCTTTTGCACCTTAGGAACATTTGAAAACTTATCAAGGCAAGCCCTTCAGAAAAATAAATTGCAATCAACACATATAAAAAAACTGGGCTTCAATGCCTGGGTCCCTGACCCTTAATTGGATGCGTTATTAGGAAAGGCTTCTCCTGTTTGCTGTGGTGCCCTCTAAAGACTGGATGGACCTTGCTTTAATAACTTCTCCATGTGCAATTTGTTTTAGCATTTACACTGCTGATGGTAGGGAGAAACCCTCTTTCATGGATGCCAAAGAGCTCGAAATGAAATCTGCAATCGACAAAGGCTTCATGGAAACAGTCAATTCAGAATAAAATGAACAAGAGGCTCTAGAGAAGAAGCACTCATGCTTTCCGAGAACACTTCTCTAGAAAAAAAAATATTTAGGAAAAATAAAAAGTTTCAAGAATTAGGTGTGCGTTCTCCCACCTGGTTCTTGACCATACTCAGTCAGGGTTATTTGGGTAGAGTGAAATGAACCATCTACTGAAAGCAGAAGGGGCGGGGGGAGCAGCCTCCTAAGTGAAAGTTGCCATCAGCCCAGCGCCGCTCTCTGCTAAAGGAAAGCCGCTCAATTCTGAAACTGGAGGGTCAGCGAGGACCTCGCAATGGTTACATCAAAAGCGACGTAAACCAGCAGTAACTGCAGAGCAGACACCAGGGCATGCCATCCCCCCGGCGCTCCAGGAACCAACATCACTCTTAAGTGTTACTAAGTGAGGTGTGCACGTCCAAAATGATAAATAGAAGCACGAGGGTGTGGTAAAAAACAAAAACAAAAAACACAAAGCACTAATTTTTCCCTTCGCTCAATGCACCACCACCTCCCACCACCCTGAGCCCCCCCGCCTCCCCCCCCACCCCCCGCTAAGAAAGGGGCAATGGATCCCAGCTGATCTATCTCCAGGTGGTGGCTGGCTGGGGCTCGGCCCTGCCCAGGTGGGGAAGGGGCGGGTGGCACTTACTTTGAGCAGCTTGCAGCGGATTTGCGCGGAGACCATGTGGCTGTTGCGCAGGTTGCCCACCCTGAACATGAGCGTGAGTTTGCCGTCCCTCATGGAGATGACCGCGTGCTCGCTGAACATGAGCGTCTCGGCGCGCTTCTTGGGCTGGGACATCTTGATGAACATGCAGCCGATGAGGAAGGCGTCCACGATGGAGCCCAAGATGGACTGGAAGAGGAAGAGGATGATGCCCTCGGGGCACTTGTCAGTGATGTAGCGATAGCCGTAGCCGATGGTGGCCTCGGTCTCGATGAAGAAGAGGAAGGCCGAGGGGAAGTTGTAGACATTAGCCACGCAGGGCGTGTAGTTGCCGACGTGGGCTTTGTTCAGGTCGCCCCGGGTGTAGGCGATCACCCACCACATGGACGCCATGAAGAGCCAGGCCACGGTGTAGGTGAGGATGAAGATGAAGAGGTTCCAGCGCCACTTGAGGTCCACCAGGGTGGTGAAGAGGTCCGAGAGGTAGCGGCTAGTCTCGCTGCCCAGGTTGCCGTGCTGCACATTGCACCGGCCGTTCTTGTCCACAAAGCGCTGCCGCTTCTTTTTGGGCACCAGCTGCTGCTGCTGCGGGCCCTGCCCTGGCCCCTGGGGCTGCAAGCCCGAGCCGCTCGAGGAGGTGGTCACTACCTGGTAATCGTCCCCAAATTTCCTTCGGAGTGCAGACATAATACGGAGGGGCGAGCCAGATTCAAATGCGAAGCCAAGGCGCAGGAGCCCAGCGCTGCAAACGGGCACCAATAAGGAAGTGGGGGTGGGGGCCCGCGGAGGGGGTGGGGGTAAGAGCCAGCTCCCCAGCTGGGGTGAGGGGGAGGGTGGGGGGCGTCCAAGCAGGTCGCCCAGGTCTTTGCCCCCTGCGGTGGCCGGGGCCGGTCCCTGGGGCAGATGGCTGTCTGCCCCCCACCCCCCAGAGGAGTCTTTGCAAAGTGTGCTCCTACACTCCCGGCAGGAGGGCTGCAAGGACGGCCACCCCCAGCGCGAGCTCACCCAGGCTTCTCTTCCCGTCCCCCGCCGCCCGCATCCCCGGCCACCTCCCCGGGCGACTCCGCAGCACCTCCAACCCGGACGGTGGGAAAGGAATGAGGTGACAAGCGGGGCTCCCCCCACCGGCCAACGAACTCCCGGGGCTAAGCCGGCCGCCCGACGGGGAGCAGACCCTCCCCGCGCCCCGCCGTGGCCCGCGCGCCAGGCCCCCGGAGGCTCCGGGCCGCCTTGACCTCGGCGCCCCCGCCTCCTAGCTCTTGGCCCCAATCCAGCCCCCTGGCAAGTCTGCCCAGCGCTGGTGCAGCACCCCCGCCACCGGCCCTCCGGGCTCCCGGACTCCGGAGACTACTTCTCCTAGCGCCCGCCGGCCGCCGACTTTCCACGGACCCTGCCGGGGCCCTTGGCCGGACCCTCCAAAGCGCACCCCCTCCCCCCCGCCAAGCGGCCGCTGCGCCCAGGGGAGACGCGGGCGGCCAGCGAAGCCGGGTCACTCACCCAGCGGGAGAGAGCAGGAGGCGATGTGGCCGGCGGCAGCCCGGCCTCCCGCGCCGCGATCGCGGCTGTGCTCCTCACTCCCCCCACCCCCTTTTTTCCGAGGTGCCACGCTGGCTTCCCTTAAGCAGCGCCCGGTGCCTGAGGCCACCTGGCCGCCCCCGCGAGCAGACCCCGGCCCGCCGAGCACCGGCGGACTTGCGCGCGGGACGCTTGCGTTCCCCGGGCGCTGCGCCCTTCTTGCAGGCGACAGCAGGGCTGTTGGGTGAGGTTTGAGCCTCCGCCTGCCGCTCGGACTTTCAGGTTAAACACTCAAACCGCTCTAATTTTTTTTTCCTCACTGCTGGTGGAAACGCCTGTTCCTTTCTTCCTGGTTCCCCTCCTCACTGTCCGCGCCCCGTAGCCCCCGCTGGGGGTGGCTGGATGGGGGCCGGGGCGACCGGCGTGCGGTGTGTGCCGGTGCGTGTGCTCAGCTGCAGAGCCGCGCCAGAGCCGCCCCAACCTGCCTTCCCCCGCCGCTCCACCAGCCCAAATTGCACCTCCGCGCCTCAGTGGAGCCCGCAGTGTCTGGCAGCTCAGGCAAGCGAGCCCCTCCAATGAGAAGCGCCTCTAAATCTGCTCCCAAACGCCAGCCAGCTCCCCTTCCGCGCGCCCCTGCATCAGCCAGAAAGCCCCCAGCAAGTAGCAAATGCTACTTGCTCTTCCAAAGAAGCGAAGTGCAATATGTCTCTCCGTAACTAGGGCTCTCATTTCCACGGATGCCTGGATTTGGGGACGCATCATAAACACAAATCTCAATTAGCTCCTAGATAGACAGATTCGGAACTCTAATGGTGCCTGGTTGAAGGGAGGGGGCGCAGCTAGGAGGGGACCAGAGAGTAGCCAGAGAAGCTTCACCATCCTTGGTTTAAAAAAAAAAAAAAAATGTTTGGAAACTGATTGTGGTAGCAATGGTACAATTCTCCTGAACATGATTGAACGATGGAATGGTATGATAAATATATTGAATTAAAAATAAATAAATAAAATAATCATAATCCA